TTTGGCAGCATCGATGCAAGCGGAACATATGCACACCCTACGACCTGGAAACTTTAGTTCCAAGTGTGTCCACAGAAATGTGCTCCAAAGGACAATGAGAATGTTCATAGCAACATGAATCATAACAGTCAAAACTGAGAATGACACAGATGCCTCTCAAGAGACGAGGATGAGAAGGTCTGGTGGAGCCACACAATGGAATGCTGCATGGAAATGAGAAGGAGCGAACCAGCGCAACACCAAGTGTGCTGGGTCTTACAAATCCAGCTTAGTGGGAGATGGCAAACACGAGAGTGCACACTGTGATTCCATTTATATTGAGCTCAAACCAGGCAAAATTTATCAACAATATCAGAAGTTGGGATAGTGGTTATTTTGGGGAGAAAGCTGGGTAGGACTCTGGGAGTTGGAGAACATAAGGGTTTCTGAGGGAGGTTGTCCTAGACTGTTCAGGCTTCTATATAAAACTACCATAGACTGGGAGGCTTAAACAACAATTTCTCACAATTCTGGAGGCTGGGAAGTTCGAGATCAAGGCACCAACAGTTCAGTGTCTAGTGAAGCCACTTCCTGGCACACAGAGGACCTCCTGGGAGCCCTCTGGGGTCCCTTTATAAGGGCGCTAATCACATTCATGAGGACTCTACCTGCATGATCTAATTAGCTCCCAAAGACCCCACCTCCCAATACCATCATATTGGGGGGTGGGATTTCAACATATGAATTTGGGGAGACACAAACATTCAGTTCCTAATATTGGTCATATTTTATTTCTTGATCTGACTGGAGGATACAGAGGTATGTGCACTTTACGATAATTCACTAACTACATACTAAAATGATCTTTATTCTATTCTATATGTAGATTACACTTTAATAAAAAGTTCATCAAAATTTTAAATGAAACTATCATATGAAATTATCACCCTCTAAGTGGGAAATATGTGTGTTTATCTCAATTCATGTAATAAAACCATCCTCTGAGGCAGTAAGTACTGGGATGCTCTCCATTTTCTGAGGAAACCAAGGCCCACAGAAGTTAAACCACATGCCCAAGTCCTCCAACCAGTGAGCGGTGCGGACAGGAGTGGAACCCGGGCAGTCTGGCACCACAGCCCACGGAGGTTCCCTTCCTTCTGAAACTAGCGTTTGCTGCCTCGGTGGACACTTCTTCCCGGGTGAGCAGAGGGCTCTGAAGCTTGGCTCTGAGTTGGATCTAGACCAGGAAGCACAGTCAAACCAAGTGAGGTGACTTCACTAATGGGAATTGTACCCCACTGCTCTGTAAAACCAGGCCCCGGAGGGCAATGGATCTGCTTAACTGTGGCCCAAAGAGCTGCGGTTACTATTGAGATTCATGTCAACTGTCTCTTCCTTTTATTCATTTATGCAAAATGTTTTACATACTCCAGATGTTGCAACCCATTTTCTACACCGTCGGAATTCCAAGTTTAAAATTAGAAAAAAAAGCCAAAGCATCATTTAGGAAAACAAAAAACTAAGGATAGCATTCCTTATAGTTTTTCCTTAAATGTGCACAAATTCTTTACAGATTACAGCAAAACTCTACTTACCCTTCCTATTTTATATTCTTTTTACTCTATGACTTCTGTAAGTTAAAAATGATGAAAGTAAGATAAGATTTGCTCTACCACAGGCAGAACAAACTCTATTACCTTCCTCTCATCTCCAGCCCAGCTGGAAAATACGAGAATTATAAGATATGTATAATACCCTGCATGTGAATCTAATTCAGTAAGTGAGCTCTATTCCATATGAGTCACAGACAGACAAGTAAAAACCCTGCTCATCGAGGCACCTGCCCCAGGTTCCAGCGAAAATCATCAGCTGGGCTGATGGTCAAGTGAGATAAATGTAAGTTCCAGCCCGTGTCTGACCTCAGGAGCGGAAGTGTATGTCAATCCATCATATTTTTCTTAAATGATGATGTTTATTACTTGACCAACAGAATCAGCTCATACAAATGGCAAACCAGTAGTTGTTAGTATCAGCTGATTTAAGTTGAACAACAGACCGTCAGTAAGTTTGAGTTTCAGTGCACTCAACTAGACTAGCCCTTACATCTAACAGGAAAATCAATGCCTTTGAAATAATTAGGTTCGGGCTCGTGGGAACCTACTTCTGGGCAGGCACGGGGCTCGCCGGGAAAGAGCGGCTGCCGGGCCCGGCCAGTTTCCCTGCAGAAGCCAATCAATGCAGCGGCAGTGTTCCTCAGCCCTGTGCTCTGAAGCCTGTGAAACAATGCCAGGGCTGAAAATACCATTACACACCTCTGCTTTGTAACTGGCTTTGAAATTTCAATTTTTGGAAAATGTACTGTGCGATGAGGTCTGCATTCATTTTCCTGATATAGCATGAGAAAAATAACTCCCACACCTTTCTCCACCGAAGATGACAGCCAATCTCAAACAAGTTTAAACACTGCAAGCATTGGAAAATACTCCACAAGGTAAAGTCAACATTTTGGGAAAGATAGTTTTTAAAAAATGGCTCTGCAAGTGATTTTTCATTCCCCTCCTAATATTTTTGCAGAATTAAAATTCAGGAACAGCCACTAAGAAAACACACATATATATGTGTGTGTGTGTGTGTGTGTGTGTGTGTGTGTATTTTTTTTTAAATCCTCACCCAAGGATGTTTTTCCATTGATTTTTAGAGAGTGGGAGAGAGGGAAAGACACAGAGAAATATCGATGTGAGAGAAACACATGGATTGGTTGCCTCCTGCATGTGCCCTGACCAGGGCCCGAACAGGGGAGGAGCCTACAACCAAGGACCCTTTGGTCCACAGGCCCACGCTCTATCCACTGAGCCAAACCGGCTAGGGCAAAAATATATATATTTTTAAACGCTCTGATTGTCCTGGCAGATGTAATCCCTTGATGGTTCTCGATTATTCTTTACCAAGTTTCGGCAGACACTGCAAGTTCAGTATGTTGTTACAGGTGCCTGTCCCCTGGCTCCTCTGTGGTTCAAGCAGCCTCGGGGCTATGTGTGATATCCATACTATTCACGGATTTCAATTGGTCTAAAAATCACTGGGAAGAAAATGATTCTTCCCTTAGGAAGGAACAGTAAGAAGGGATACATGAATTAATAAATAAGTAGGCAGCCACTGGTGATGTTCTTACTTAATGAAAACAAGGTGCTTATGTAAACAGAAAAGTCAACCGCGAACACTTCCTTCTTGGCTGGGTGACCTGACTTCAGGGACTTGGCCATTCCCCAACGGCCTGGGGAACTGAAGAAAAGCAGCTGATGAAACCTTTCCACTGATTTGTAAGTCAGAAGAAAAAGTCTTAGCAAAAAGAAGGTTACCAACTACCCAAGTCATAATGAACACAGACAAGCATACTGTACTACTAATATAAGACAAAATTTTATACATTGAAACCAAAAGGCTATTGCCATTATATATTTTTAAAATATATTTTTATTGATTTCAGAGAGGAAGGAAGAGGGAGAGATAGAAACATCAATGATGACAGAGAATCAGAGATTGATTGCCTCTTGCTCGATCGGATCAAGCCCACAACCCAGGCATGTGTCCTGATCAGGAATCAAACCGTGACCTCCTGGTTCATAGGTTGATGCTCAACCTCTGACCTACACCAGCCTGGTGCCATTATACTTATTAATGAAAGGTTCCCACATTAAGTTCAGACTACATTTCTTTTTTAAAAAATCTGGTATTGGTTTCATTTATGATTTTCTTGGTGATAGGTTCAGATTTCCCATTTCCTCATATGTCTCAAGAACCAACAGGATATTTTAGATAATCTAACAGCATCAAAATAATGACTCTCAAAATTTAAAATCAAATGGTTATGGCATATACACTACCCCACAGAACTGTTAAAAGCGTGAGATGATACACTAAAAAATTTTAGTCTTGTCCACATAATAAATACCCACCTAAACCTTGTTATCATAGACAACCGAGTAGTTCCAATGGAAGAAGACATACTGGTATTTAGACTGATTAAATGTTTACTGAGCATCTACTGTGTACCTGGGTGTAATAGCTACATTCTAGTTAAGACAAGACATACAGAAAGCAATATCATTTGCTACTAAAAGCATATATTATAAACTGTAACACATGCAACTGTCAGAGATAAAAAATAAAAAACATGCAGAAGGCAATGTGGTCATTATTTTCAAGTAATATCCTATATAACAAAAGCCTAATATGCTAAGTGTCCTGTCGTCCAGTCAACCAATCAAAGCGTAATATACAAATATATGCTAAGGCCGCTCAATCGCTTGCTATGATGTGCACTGACCACCAGGGGGCAGACGCTCCAACCGGTAGGTTAGCTTGCTGCTGGGGTCTGGCTGATCGGGACTGAGCGAGATGGCCAGACACGCCCTGGAGCCCTCCTGCAGCCCCTCCCCTCTCGCATCTCTCCCCAGCCCGATCATGTACCGGTGGGGTCCCTCAGCCTGGCCTGCGCCCTCTCGCAATCTGGGACCCCTCGGGGGATGTCTGCTTTTGGCCCGATCCCGCAGGCCAGGCTGAGGGACCCCACTGGTGCATGAATTCATGCAGCAGGCCTCTAGTATGATAATATAATCCTATCCTTTCATTCTGTCTCCAAGCATATGATACTACCGTCAGCATCTTATGAAAGGAATCCAACACCCAGTCTTCTCTAAGTCATATAAGTATAGAGCTAATTGCCTCATTGTAAATTACCCAAATGATGTTTCATGCCAGCCCACGCTTCACTGTTCGGGGCACTACACCTGTTTTATTTCCTGCCACCTCCCAGAGCTCTTAAAGCACAGCCTCTGAAATAAGATCCTGGGGCACTTACAAGACTTTCACCACAAATGAGTTAAACACCGGGTATATCAATGGCGTGTAAGGCAGGGTTTGCCTCTGGGCTGCATACTAACCCCCTGCAGCAGGAACAAGATTGCTCTTGATGGTGAGAAGCCAGAACATTAGGCCACCTCCACCCAAGAGAGAGTTACCTTAGGATCAGCTGTGAGCAATTTGAAGGCTTGATAGACTTGAGCTTCCTGTACGCCACCTCCAAGATCCAAGAAGTTGGCTGGCTTCCCACCGTTCAGGAAAATGATATCACAAGTAGCCATGGCAAGTCCAGCACCGTTCACTGTAGAGTGCAAACAGCACACAAGGCAGGATCAATTTAGTAAAACGAAATGGCCCAGAAATGTTTCCCTCCACACAATTGCAAAAGAGAACCCTATCATGACGGGCCAATTTCTGCCCTGTTTGAAATTCTATTCAACCGGATAAGCTCATAGATTTTTAGGATAAGGAATCAGAAGATGTGCACACAAAGAATAACCAAGAAAGGCCTGGCAATGGGGAGATGGCTTTATCGGGAAGTGAAATCAATCTGGGAAATGGAAAGAAGGAAGAGTTGAAGTCAGTTATCAATTTGGGCTAGTTCGTAATAGAGGAGGGAGTTTTGGGTTCTGGAAAGTGTATTTCAAGAACTTGGAAAAGAGCCCTAACAGGTTTGGCTCAGTGGATAGAGCGTCAGCCTGTGGACTGAAGGGTCCCAGGTTCAATTTCAGTCAAAGGCATGTACCTTGGTTGCGGGCACATCCCCAGTAGGGGGTGTGCAGGAGGCAGCTGATTGATGTTTCTCTCTCATGGATGTTTCTAACTCTCTATTCCTCTCCCTTCCTTTCTATAAAAAATTAATAAAATATATTTAAAAAAAGAAATTGGAAAAGAGAAAAAAGCTGTGAAAAGTAACTAAGGCCTATGAATTACTTTTTTGTTTTGTTTTTTATTTTGTTAATCCTCACTCAAGATATTTCTTCCATTGATTTTTAGAGAAAGAAGGAAGTAGGGGAGAGAAAGAGAGAGAGAGGAAGAGAAAGAGCAATATGAGAGAGACACATTCATTGATTTCCTCCCACAAGCGCCCAACTGGGGCCAGGGATCGAACCTACAACCCAGGTACGTGCCCTTGACCTGGAATGGAAGCTGAGACCCTTCTGTCCTTGGGCCAATACTCTAACCACTGAGTGACACCGCCAGGGCCACATTCTTTTTAATAACCTTTAAGAGTTGAAAATGGAATTCTCCTAGTTTTGTTTGTGAGAATACGGTCCCTGGAACGTGGCACCCTCTGGGGTTGAACCACGGGCCTTCAGCTGCAAGAGGGTTCCCCACATTTTTCTACCGAGTGCAGTCAAGCATGATTATACGTTATCTGGAGAAAGTCAGAAGACAAATGAACAGATGATCACTCAGCAACATTCCTAGCCCCCTGCTCCTTTTTCAAAATAATATAACAAATGTTCACTAGCAACCTGACCATTCAAACTAGAACCAAAATGTGTTAGCATCTTCGGAGCTTTTCTTTAAAAACCAAGTAATGAGTTTTAACATAGAAATTCTTATTTTCCAGAACTCAGTTTTATTGATCAATGTAGTTGTTCCTTATGCTTAATTATATGAAGTTATTTTCCTCAAGTTAGAAAGTAAAAAAAAAATAATAAAAATCTCCTGAACTCAGCAGAAACTCTCAAGATAAAGTACCTTTCACTTTTTTCTGACCCTTGAATTCCCCAGACAACTGAACTGTGACTAATTTAATTAATTATGGGTCAACTAAAATAGAAATGGTTTATCTAGGATCTGAGAGCAATTTGAAAAGCATTAGGCTAACTTCATCAAACCATGCACATGCCTACAGAGGCTACAAAGGATTGAATTTGTTCTACACCCGCATTTTCTCTCTCCTTCCTAAATGCCTACAATACTGAGCACCTTAGCTGACCAAGGGCAGGAGGGTGGGCAAGGGGGTACATGAGAGTTATTGCTCCAATCAAAGCAAGACACTTGGTGCCGCTTGTAACTAGATGTCATTTTCTATTGTATGAACAGAAAACTACTGGATGAGGTCTATCCAGTTCTGAATATAATGATACTGTTGGCTTAATGAGCTATAAATCTTCTTTAAATTCCATTAAGATTAAGAACTCAGCTTCCAGTGTAATAAATTGGTTCCACCATAACACAGAGGTACATAAATCTCAGTACTATAAGCTGTGGACAATAACAAAAGTTGTGTTGCCTCTATAGACCCATTCTTATTTCAACTGAATAAGCCATTTTCACAAATTTAGATAATTATGATAAAATCAACTGTTTTATTAACAAAGTGGTATAATGGATTAAGCAACTTATCATTTGTTTATCACAGAAGTTGAAACTTGAGCATAATGATTAAGTATATATTCTCTTCTACTTCCTCTGAGCAAGTAGTTTTGAACCCAAATTTCAGAATAGTTCCTACAAATTAGCATTGCCTGGAGCAGCAAAGGCCCTTAGCTTAGTAAAAAGTGAAGTTTAACTGATGCTTTGAAACAGGGCTTCTCCCGGGGGTGGTTCTGCCCATCCGGACACCCTGCCGTGTTTGGAGACACTCGGTTGTCACAAGTGGAGGTGCCAGTGGCCCCTAAAGGCCAGGATACTGCTGAACGCCTTCCAATGTGCAGGCCAGCCCTCAGCCAGCGAGGAATTCCCCCCTGAAATGTCGCCGGTGCCGGAGGTGAAACCCTGCTTTAAACCAGGGACCATCGACCAAAGTCTACTATGGGAAGAAAATGAATTGTCTCCTAAGATTCTTGGGGAGAAAAATCTCTTATGTTTACTTGCTGCTAGGAAATAAAATTTAAGAAATCAGGAGTTCCTAAATTCTGCAAAAATCCACAAGCCATCCTTTTGCCATAACTGACTGCTCACCAAAGCAGGCAATGTTCCCATCCAGTCCTATGTATTTTAGGTCATATTTGGCAGCTTCATTTTCAATGGGCTCGTTTTCTGATCCGTCGTCCATGGCGAATATGTCCTTTTGTCGGAATTCTGCGTTGTCATCAAAGTTTATCTTGGCATCAAAACAGACAACTAAAAAAAAGGAACAAACATGATGTCTCTTTAGGATCTACACATGACATTCCCAAGGTTGGTTGGCACAGGAGAAAAATAAGTAAGACACTGTCGCCCTACTTCATGATACAGACGGGACAACTGTCGCGGCCTCCTGCCTCGAACTTAAACTTCAGAGCTACAAAGACAAATATGAAGTGGTTCCTGTTCCAAGGGACTTACCTTCGAACAAAGAACACAGGCATTTGTGTCTGCTGATCTCTGTTCAATCAAATAACAATGTAAGTTGCTATCAACCATTAAAAGCTAAGACTGCCAGCTACATGTAGCTCTGATGAGCTGTTCATGCTATATTGTTAATAATTAATCACTAATTGTCACCTTTTCCTTCTATGCAAAGAGACTAGACCAGGGGTGGGCAAACTTTTTGACTCGAGGGCCACAATGGGTTCTTAAACTGGACCGGAGGGCCGGAACAAAAGCATGGATGGAGTGTTTGTGTGAACTAATATAAATTCAAAGTAAACATCATTACATAAAAGGGTACAGTCTTTTTTTTTTTAGTTTTATTCATTTCAAACGGGCTGGATCTGGCTCGCGGGCCGTAGTTTGCCCACGGCTGGACTAGACAATAACCCCTAATCCTGCCGTGGTCCTTTGTCCTTCTGATGAGGCAAAGTGAAATTTTTATTTAACTGTATCCTCACCAATATTTCTCAGAGATGTAGTGGAAAGAACACTGGGTCTGAATCAATAGTTTTTATATGAGCCTTAACTAACTGTAGCCTTGATTAAATAATAATAATAATAACCTACTTCCTCTCCGGGCCTCAGTTTTCTTATTTAGAAAATGGAAATATTCCCTAGGCTGCTGATACACTTACTTGGGGCCTGCTACTGTGCGTTCCATCAACCACCACCTTGATGTGTGCAGGACATGACTCTTTTGATTCAAGTTGTAAAACACTAAGAGACCCAGCTGGTCAGACACAAGGAAGGCTGACAGGCACTATCGGCAACGCGGTCTCTGCCCCCAGGGCTGGTTAAGGCTCTTAGCTCTCTCAGTGGCCAAGGGCCCTGGACATAGTGACTCTCACTCAGGGATGAGGATGGACCGCGAGCGCGTTCCTTGACTTACAGGAGATCTTCTGTATGTACAGTCAGGGGGGAGCACGGTGGGGTGGTGCACTGGTTTCCGGGGCCTGATCGCTTTACTACAGCCTTTAGGGTGGAAATTAGCTATCTGTGATGCCATCCCATCATCACCTCCTCTACTGTACTTGGGGTATGGACAGGCAGGGGTCTCCGACTGGGTACTATTCCTCTCCAGCACCATAGACAGGCACCTAACTCTTAAAGGGGAAACAACCACCCTGGCATATTTCAATCAAAAGCAGTGACTGCAGTCTGTGAATTCCACTCGCTTCCTATGGAAAGAAAATGTTGTTACACTGAGACATCTGGGGTGAAAGAGCCCAGGCAGCGGTTTCCCTGATGGAATCTACCACAACCATCAACCAACCTGTGCAGATCTGACATATTAACATCTAAGAACACTCGGCATAAATACAAGTCAAAACCACAAATTACTTAGAGTAGCCCTGACTGAGAAGAGAGAGTCCTACGTGGAAGTTAATGTCTGCGGGAGTCAGCAGTCTTGCCGCAAAATGTCCCATCACATTTCCCACAGGCTGTGAGCACATGGGGCCCATGAGCAATCGCTTTCCCAAACACTGGAACCTTAGCGATGGAATCCTACAATTAATTACAAAGGAGTTGGCCCATGCTCTCTGCTTGCTACAGTGGCATTTTCTCAGCAGCTAATGACCGGTGTAATAATCAATAGGAAAGCAACTTCATTCTTGGCTTTCCACTGGGTTTATAAATACATTTTAATTAATTTATTAGTAACTGTAGCTCTTCCATTACTCATTGGCAAGACTACTTGTAATTGACACCTTTGAAATGAATGGGCAAAGGCAACCAAATTGACTTCCTAAGAGAAGAGTTTCACATAAAAGAATTCTTGGTCGAGATCAATAAACTAGTAAATCATAGTAAGTCCCGGCTGCTCTCTGCCCCTCACAAGACTGCACTCACAAGCACCTTGAGAGACATAATTAGGGGATATGGATGCAGCGTGCAGAAGGCGGGCCCACTGCATGTCTGCGAGCTCAGACTTTCGATGCTTGCCCTGCGACGCAGTACAGAAACGTGTTCACTCTTCTGGGGCCACCCTGGGAGACCGTTAGAGGTCAGCCAGGGCTTGAAGGTGGTGACTGTGGGATAAAAAGGATCTCTATAGGGAGAAATATGTATGTCCTCTGGCATCCAAAGCACCGTCTGTATGAATCACCACTCCGGCCCCTCCTAGCCAGGCAGCCGATCACCTTACACCCAGTGGCCTGGCCTATGAAATGGGGAGCAGAGGCCATCAGCCGCGTGGGGTTGCTGGAAGGAGAGGAGGCATGCAAGCACTCGGCCACATACACAACTGGCCCTCGCCCCCGTCCTGTCCCTGCACAGAGCTTTCCGACACTCAGAGTGTCCGCTGCCCAGCCCAGAGGATTCTCCTCTCTTCCTCTCACTCGGAATGACCTGTACTTGGTCCACTCCCTTACAGTGCCGGCCTTCTGTTTAGAATAAATATAAACTGATGCTTAAGGGGTTCACATCTATGCATTACCTGTGGTTTTCAATGCAACGCCATCTTCACAATGCAAGGATGTGTCTAAGAGAGCCCATGCACCTCTCACCCCGTCACCGCCCAAAAAGATGTAGGTTTTGGGGTTGGCCATTCCGTTTTAGATGACCTTTCCTCACTACTCAGCCTTTCCCCCAGGAAGGGTTTCAATGGCAGGCATTTCATGAAGGTTTTCTAAGAGAAGGACATTTTCTCTTAAAGGACGAGGGTCAAAGAGCTGCCTCTCTTGAGCCTCAAATCACACAACACCTCTGCAGAGGGCCAAGGCGGCTACAGATTGGTACATCGAAGTCAGGGGGCCCAGTGTGCCCCTCGGGTCAGCTCATGCCTGTTTCTGTAAACAAGGTTTGACTGGACCACAGCCACATAAATTCATCGACGTCTCCCTGTCGCCGCTGTCCTGAGAGCCCCACAGCTGAGATGAGTGGCCAGCCCTTATGGGAACAGGCGGGCTGTCCCTGCTAATCACAAAGTCTCGTCACATTGGCACCTTGCTCTAACACTGACACAGTGGCCTCCGCTATCACGTCTGTTATGGGGAAGGAGAAACTTAGAAAAGTGCGTCCTACTAGCTTGAAAAGAAAAATGTGAAACAAACAAAATAAAACCTTGCAGCTGCACACAAGTAGATTAATCCCTGAATATTGATTGACTCTCGTATGCTTAATTACCCCTGTAAGACCTTTCCAAGTACACGTTTAGGCCTGGCATGTTCAAAATGGATTGATGTCTATGTCAACAGCAGGGCAATAACAAACCTTAGTTTTTTCATTGAATATAACAACAAACTATGGTAAAATGTATTTTGGAAGGTGCTCAGCTTGGTTCAGACATTAAGACTTTCAATGTCACAATAATAAAACCTCAATTCTTTAGAAAATTCAACTTGAACAAAGGCCATTCTGTGTACAAAGTGGGTGAAAAACACACCTATTAATATTTATAAAACAACTTTCACCATCAAGAGCACATTGTTACATGCTTGATAGATTATACAAATGAGTTTTCCTTCTGAACAGCTATGAAAGGGAACCGCGCACTTGGTCGCAGGGCGCTTCTGTTGTTTTGTTCAGCGGTGGGTGTTAAGATTCTGCGAGCTGTTAGTTCAACAACCTCCATGAACAACATGACTGGCAGTTAGCAGCCTCTGACCCTGGAGGTTCAGCAGAAGAATGTGCCATGGAATTAAACAAAAGAAAAGTACCTTTCCGAGGGGAGACTCACACATAAAGGAAACGTAACAACAGCAGGAAGTAAGACTGTCATAATTAGTTTGAAAAATAATCTGTCTTCAAGCAATGCATTGCGCTGGATCTGCGATAAATAACCATGATGTGCTATGGAAATGAGCCCTTAAAACGCTGCCACTTTCAAACTGGCCCCACTTTCCATTAAATACTGATGTTCCAAGAGTTGTATACTTTCTAGAACATTTTTTTTTTTTAGTTGCTGTGGAAAGAGAAAATAGATATGAGGAGGGAGAGGGGTTGAGGGTAGGTAGAATTAAAAATGTTCTTGAAAATAGAAGTCTTGTGTATAAAGACAGAAACAGAAACACCCACCGACAACATGGGCACTTGCTAACACAAAGCAACAGGGTTGTTATTTAGGGAAATTAATTTGAAGCAAGAAAGAGATTTGATGTTCCAGTTAACTTTAACCCAGCCTTAACTCTCATGTCATCTTGGCCAGATAGTCACTGTTTAAACCAGGTTTCATTCCTTTAATTTGGTGAATGGATTTGTGCTCCAACTGACGAAGATGCCCTGGAGCCGGAGGTCTGCACGTGGGGACTATGACATGGTGGGCGAGATCACTTCTGTTGGGAGGCGCTGTGCTGTGCGTTACAGGACGTTGAGCGACCTCTCTGGCCTCCACTCACTAGAAACGAGTAGCAACTGCACCCCAATTTGTGACAAACACAAATGGATGTTAACGAGACTCACTGCAGTGATCCAATAAAGTCATCGTGTTGTACACCCGAAACTAATACAATGTTATGTCAATTATATCTCAATTTAAAAATGTCTTTAGACACTGCCAAACGTCCCCTAGGGGACAAATGCCCACCTTCCCATTGAGAAACAGCACAGACACCAAAGAAAGGCGTCTGTGTGCAGGCAGATCTGGCTGAAAGTGGGAAGAAATGAAATCAGAGGCCAAGTCCCCGTGGCTTGCAAACTAAATAAATGAATGGACGGATAAGTAGATAAGTAATAACAAAGCAAATTCATTCACAGTTTAATGAAGTAATCCTGGCACTGCAATCGGATAAGCAAGGAAAACAGTTACGTTCTCTCTGACTAATAAACATTTTACTTTCATTTCAATAAGTTAGGCCATTCTGGTCCCTTTTTCCATCAAGAAACTGCCTTTCTCCAATCCCGTGGTCGGCAAACTGTGGCTCGCGAGCCACGTGTGGCTCTTCCTAAACCTTAGGAGTACCCTAATTAAGTTAATAACAATGTACCTACCTATATAGTTTAAGTTTAAAAAATTTGGCTCTCAAAAGAAATTTCAATCGTTGTACTATTGATATTTGGCTCTGATGACTAATGAGTTTGCCAACCACTGTGACCTATACCATGTGAGCCAGGCTCAGTGATTGGTCTAGGCATGGGCATGTGACCCAAGCAGGACCAATCAGAATCATCTGAAAGGTTGCTATGGTTGCTGGAGGAGCTGTGATAAGAACAGGCTCACCTTTACTGCCCTCCAGCAGCCAGGCTGACAATGCAGGGGATTCAGCCGCAGGCAGGGCTCAGGGCCAGAGGCTCCCCAGGCCACTCCTTAGACTTCCCATCACCTGAGTGAAATAAGTGCCCCTTCCCCACCAGGGACTTTTCCACAAAAACTAGGCAGATGGGGGTTTCTATCTCTAATAACCATTACAATCCTGATAGTCACCAAACTACCATCAGCAGTGCCAAATCATAGTCTTTGAATCAGATTATAAACCACACGGGAAAAAAATCGCTCCTAGACTGCTGTTCTTTCTCGACCTCAAAAATGCCCCCGAGGTGACCGGGCAGCACAGCTGTTACCCAGGCCACTGCTCTCATTCCAGCAGCAGCATCTGCAAATACGTGACCACGCAGCTGGGTTTAAAACAATGTTCCTCATGGAGCAACAGGAGCCTGAGGAAACGCTCTTACAGAGAGGCTCTGTCACAAACGGGAAAAAGGTAAAAATGCCTGGTATGATGCCTAGCTCCTTAAACTTCTAAATTAAAAGAGTAATTACTGAAGTTTTAATGTGAAAGGTTATATGTTCTGCTATTACTGATCTAAATGAAAAAATTAAATATTAAGATTATCAATATTGCTCAGATATAAATGATTGCTTTTACAGCCCCTAAATAAAGGACTGCTTTAGGGGACTGTGACAATGATGAAGATCAATTTGTACATTTGATCATTAATCACCGTTTCCTAATTGGGTTTAATTTGACTACTGCTCATTAGAGTTATAAACCAACACACTCATTTAATTGTGATTAAATTCAGTAGTTGGACTTTTATGGTACAATGAACAAATAGCTAAAGATAATTTTGTTCTTAAAATAGCACATAAGACTTATGTTTTAATGAAGTGTAAACACAAAATTTAGTTTATGATGAGTCTTTCAAAAAAGCTCAATAATGTTTCTTCCTCTTAATAATTAAAAAGAAACCTTGAGTTTTCACAAGGTTTTACAAATACCCCATAGGAAAAGGTTCTCACAGCCCTGCCCCTGCCAGAAACCAGCTGTGACTGACATCTTCCCAAAGGCTTGAATTTCCACTTTTTAAAATATGAAATAACCAGGTGTCTTGTGCATACCAGTCTGAAAAGCAATACATGACCTTTAAGAACTTACATTGAACTTCCATCTCTTTCATTTTGTGGACTTAATTATCAGCCACTCAATACAGCGTGAATTTTGGCTGATAGTCCCAAACTGGGACTACTTCTCGATCAGTCAGATGAAAGCAACTTAATAGTTTAAGAGGGAAAAAGAAGAAAAGGCCAGTCACTATAAGTCGGTATGGCCTATCACAATCCACAGACACACTGTACTGAGACATGGGTTTGAATCCCAGTAATTAATTACTCAGGGGGAAGTCACAGGAATTTTTCAGTCCTCCATAAAATAGGGAAACATTTCTGACTTTGCAGGGTTGCTGCAAGTAATAAAAAAAAAAAGAATATAAGTAAAAGTTTATCATAGTGCTTGACATAAGATTTCAAGAGTTTTTTCTTCCTTCCCGTACTGTCTATAATCAGGGGTGCGGGACCTTTTTTCTGCCAAAGGCCATTTGGATATTTGTAACATCAAATATTGGATATTTGTGGGCCATACAAAATTAGCCTGCTTAAAAATTAGCCTGCTCTATTTTGTCAAACATTTAACTAGCTCACCCCTATGCCTTGGCAGGGCCAGACCAAATGAGTGTATGGCCCACGGGCCGGACGTTCCCCACCCCTGGTCTATATGATGTATTGATGATTTCACAGCCAGATGAAATGTAAAAATTATTTATGAATAAGGTAGTTTGTTTATAGATGACCTACCAGATTTTTATCTGGTGGGTCACCTGTGTAAACTATGAAATATATAATTTTTAATGACTTCCTAAACATGAGCTTTTTGGCAATCTTAATTTGAAATGCTAAAAAAAAAATAGAAAAAAAGATAAAAATCTATCTATACCCTTCCTGAACTACTGCTGTGCCTGAGAAGAGGAACTAAATGTTATGACTGTCAGGAATTGGCATGTTTTGTGTCTAACACTGGAGGCTTACACAAACACAAGTCACACTTTTGGATTAAAAAAAGAAGATGGAAAAAACAACCACGAGGCTTAGCCTAGATCTGTAGTCAGGACATGGCAGAACCTAGGCCCCTCTGTAAAATAAAAGCACTGAACACCCTGCCCAAACACCACTGGCTCAGGGGTATGGTCAGCGCCTTGCGGGGTGACCTTGTGCTCAGAGTTGTACCTGCAGCAGACAGCTCTGAATTAAAGAATGAAAATACACACACACACACACACACACACACACACACACACACACACACATCCATCTTGGTCTACAACTTGGTTGTATTTGCACATAACAGATCACCTCATTTACCAACCCAATGGCAAAGACCTATTTACTGACTGTCCATTGCATTCTAGGCAGCACACAAGATACTGGGGGTGAAATGAACTAAGAAGACAAGGTTCATGGAAGTCACTTTCTGGTGTCACTATGCTATCCACTTACTCACTACCCATCCCTACCACCAAGCACACGCACAGACACGAGCTCTGGCTAGGGAATCAATAAGAACTTGTGGGGGGTGCGGAAATGTAACAGTTACTTATGCTCCACGAGTACCTGATGGATAAGAAATATCTTCCCCCCAAAATGCCTCCTCCTCCCACTGGAAGCAGAAGTTCATAATCAAGTCAGGGGGAAAGCCGGATGGCAGGGCACCGGGGCGTCACCATGATGATGCCAACCCAGCGAGCTCACAGGTGACTATATGCAGATTGAGGTCAACTGAAAAGCTTCAGGCGGGTCATAAAGCAGGTACGTTTTTGTACACCCAAGTGCAGTGGCTCCTGTTTCCACCCGAACCCTGACCACAGTGATGGGTCTCAAAAGCAAGGGCTGGCCCTAGCCAGTTTGGCTCAATGGATAGAGCATTAGCCTGCGGACTAAAGGGTCCCAGGTTCGATTCCGGCCAAGGGCACATGCCCAAGTTTTGGGCTCGATCCCCAGTAGGGGGCGTGCAGGAGGCAGCTGATCAATGATTCTCTCTCATTGATGTTTCTATCTCTCCCTCTCCCTCTCTGAAATCAATAAAAATGTGTATATATATTTAAAAAAGCCAAGGGCTGCTGGAGGATGGGTGTTTCTAAATAAGACAAAAAGCAGCCGCCTCTGAGGCTTGGCATTTGGATACAAACAGACTCAAGTGCAGAAACGTTCAACTGCATCACGGGAGCATTTGAAACTGTGGCAGAAATTAAATCACCAGGAGAAATTAATGCAAAGCTGCTGCCACAGTCCTGTGTAGAATTTAATGTATAGTCTGCAGGAGTAATTGTGTTCATTTGTTTTCTCTTATTTATTTATTTTTTACCTTGTCCTTCTGGCGTTTCACCGAAGGGGTTCACTTCCACCTGCGTAGCATCGATTTTCAGGAAGAGGTGATACAGCTTCTTAATTTCATCTGCAGCCTAGACGTGATCAAGTGAAAAGAAATTACACCAGAGCAGTAGAAGAACGTTTATTCTGCTGGATTAATGAAACCTTAAAAATTACACGCTCCGTCTTTATTTTCAGTTAGGCTTTCTGAAGGGAAAACAGAAAAGCATAGTATTTTAATTTCCACTGCTATTCATTAGAAGGGATTGCTCCACGTTCCTCCAGACACCAGAAAAGACCATTATCAAGACAACAACATATTTCCAGTATGGCCTAAAAACGCTGGTAATCTTTCTGTAAATTACCGTGTTCCTATTAGCCAAGCTATGCCACAATGTGAGCTACAATCATTAATACAAACAAGCTCCATTTAAGTAAAAGGTAAACATGACTTGGAGAGTTTATAATAACTAGGTTTTCCTGATTATGCTGGAATTAGACAGTTATTATATTCATCAATTCAAACTTATAATCTGTGGAACAATTACTGAGCGTCTAATGGAAACTGCTGCAAGAAAGGAAGGTGGAGGCCCTAAACCGCCCATGAATGCACAGCACAGTTCAACTGAGAACAGTGTGCCCCACAGGCAGAGACCAGGGAGCAGGGCGGCCAGTTTCCCACAGGTGATGCCGGCTTCATTTTCTCACTCTGCTTAAGTTCACCCACTCATGCACGCTGTTCAGCCAAGGCTTCTGAACCGCTGAGTCCCAGCACCCTGCACTGTGTGACCTGGGCTCGGGGACCACATGAACGAGGCAGGCACCACCTGGAGAGCTCACACCTGCACGTGCACAGCCTGGGACGCCTCACAGCAAGGCTGCGACCTCGGCGAGTGGCAGCCGCCAGTCTCCTCTGGGAGCGGTCTGATTCCTGGCTGTGGTTTTTCCTTTGCTGCAGTTTTGCTGGTGGTTCCAGCCCTGCATAACTTGTCCTCAGAAACACATGTGGCTTTTTCCCCTCTCTCCTCTGTAGATCGAGGGAGATGGCTCTAGCAGGCTGAGTTTCCAAGGCTCTTGGGCTCAGGCCAGCCAATGGAAGGTAGCAGTGGGAGCCAGGAGTTGGGGGGTAAGAAAGGGGGCACAAAGCTGGGGTATCTCTTCCCCTCTCTCTGCCCTGGGCAGCATCTCCTGCTCTGACTTCAGCTCCCACCATACATGCCCACCAGGGCTCCAATTCTGTGCCCCAGTGTCCAGCGACACCCGCCTCCTGTCCCCGAGCACGCAGGTAGCAACAATGGCTGTTGTTTAGCTCTACAGCGCCTCTGTCCACTCTGAAATGTCTCAGCTCTGACATCTCTATCCGTGCAGCCAATTCCTCAGAATAAATCCCACCGGGTAAAGGACGAGAGTGGTTTCTTTGTCCCACTAAACTGAGGAACTGGAGATGTGATGCGTGTTATTCATTTTATGTGTATCTGTAAACCTCCTTAAATCCTAACCTGCAACTCAGTGGACATAAATAAACAAACATAATGAGTAAGACTGAATATTTTTTTAAATATATTTTTATTGATTTCATAGAAGAAGGGAGAGGGAGAGAGAGATAGAAACAGCAACGATGAGAGAGAATCATTGACTGGCTGCCTCCTGCACGCCCCAGGCATGTGCCCTTGACCGGAATAAAACCTGGGACCCTTCAGTCCGCAGGCCAATGCTCTATCCACTGAGCCAAACTGGGCTAGGGCGAGGCTGAATATTTTTAGTATTACTTTCTTGGGGGGCAAGATAATACAGACATGACACCAATTCCCCAGGCACACCAAGGTCTGCCCCGAGCCTTCCCAGACTCCGGCCACGCGGCCACCTGACCAGTCGCTGCCACGCGGGAGGTTCTATGCACATGCCAGCATGCACATTCCGCACTCATCTTTTTTACAAAACTAAATTTGGATCTATACGTTCTGTCTTTAATAGAGTTTAAAGAGCCGTCATCAGCAACACAAACAGAACAATGTTATTCTCTGAAATGGCTGCGTAATACTGTGTGGATGTATCACAACTCACTTAACGTGGCTCTTTACGAATGTGCCTTGGCTTCCAATAGTTTGACATTCCTTCAAATGCTCCTCACCTATCTTTGCGTGTACATCATACATGTGATTAAATGCCTGTAGGGACACTTCTCGGGACCGAAGAGAAATGTGGGCATTTTAATAATAAAAGATTATCATAAATTGTTCTTGATAGAGCTGCCACTAATTCCCTCCCACAAACCAGCTCCTCGGAGTGTCCCAGTCACAACCACCACGGGAGCGCCCAGTGTGCCAGGGGAAATTCGTCTTCCACCCGCGGTGTTAACTTGAATTCCTCTTATTAAGGAGTGAATTTGATATTATTCTATGAGCTTAGGAGACATTTGTATTTCCTTTTCTGTGAATTCAGCCCATTTTTTTCTGTTGAGATTTTACCCTTTTTCTTATTAATTTACATGAAGGTATTTTTACATGAAAGAAATTAGCTCATTATCTCATATCAATTGCAAATACTTTTCTCCTTTATCTTTTGCCCATATTTTTGTTACTTCTGCCACATGGGAATTTGATAGTGATGCTACTCTTTTATAGCGTCTGACTTTGTGTCAGTGTAAAAGGCTGGTCCCACTTCGAGTGTTAAAACAATCCTCCATTATCTTTTCAAAGACTCTTTAAAATTTCCTTTGATGTTTACTTTTTTAAAATCCAAACAGATTTTATTTGAGTTACACTGAAAAGCTGGCAAGTAACACACTCTTAACTCTTTTTTGTACTTTTGAGGTTCTTCTAAGGCTAAGCCATCGACATGCTGGGAACTCGAGTCCTGGAGACACACGCTGCCTATCCTGACCCACAGCAGGCCCTGCACTTGCACAGCCTCTGCCCATCAGCGCTTAGCAAACACTCAGCGTAAGCCAGTGGTTCTCAACCTTCTGGCCCTTTAAATACAGTTCCTCATGTTGTGATCCAACCATAAAATTATTTTCGTTGCTACTTCATAACTGTAATGTTGCTACTGTTATGAATCATAATGTAAATATCTGATATGCAGGATGGTCTTAGGCGACCCCTGTGAAAGGGTCGTTCGATTGCCAAAGGGGTCGCGACCCACAGGTTGAGAACCGCTGGCGTAAGCGGTGGTTAACAATGAGGAGAAACTGCGTAAGAGAAATGACTTCTGGGTGCATAAACATGTAAGATCTTATCTCAGCTACTTTAAAGCTTTCTCTTTTTTTAAATACACATACCATAAAATTCATGGGCTCAACCATTTGTACGTGTACAGTTCTGCAGTGTCAAGTCTATTTACATTTTTGTGCAACCACGCTCCAGAACTTTCCATCCAGCAAAACTGAAACTCCGTACCAGATACATAGTAATTGCCCATTCTCCCCACCGCCTGCCTGACAACCACCAATCACCTTCTGTCACTACGATTTTACTATTCATATACACACGTAAACAGAATCATACCTATTTGTTTTTTGTGACTTGCTAATTTCTTTTTTTTTGTTTTTATTTTATTGAGTTTATTGTGGTGACATTGGTTAATAAAATTACATGGGTTTCAGGTATACAAGTCTATAAAACATCATCTGAATATTGTATTGTGTGTTCATCACCCCACGTCAAGTCTCCTTCCATCACCATTTACCCCCCTTTAACCTCTTCTACCTCCCGCACCCCTTTCCCTCTGGTGATCGCCATGCTGTTGTTCCTGTCTATGAGGGTTCTTTTCTTTGCTTCATCCTTTACCTTTTCACCCAGCCCCCAACGCCAGGCCGATGTTCTCAAGGCTCAGCCATGCTCAGCACGTCATGATCTGCTTTTTCAAGGCTGAACCACCTTCCATTATATACACACACATCATACTTTATCCATTCGTTTACCAATGTGCACCTGGGTCGCTGCAAAGCTTCCTAAACCTGTATCAACCAAGGTTGGAAGAAGCCTGGATTTTCTGGACTTAATGCCATTGTAATTATACATTAACAGAGCATTTATGAGGCGGGGGGTCCTCCACTATTGTAATTGTATATTCGTGTACAAATGGCATATGCTTTAAATATAAACATGTTTTGAGCAGGAGGAAGCATGATGAAATCGTGTTGTAAGACCGACAGGGAGCGCCAGCCGGGCTTGGAGACACGACTTATTCCAAGGCAATACTAACTGACTACAAGAGTTGGGCAGGTGTGTCGGTCTGACCAGGTGTAAAACAGAAAATGGCAGGCCTGTGGCAAGTTGAGGTTAGCTCCCCTGTTTTCCAAATGTGTTCAAATTTAAAGAAACAATTAAACACAAGTAAGAGAAACATTCTACCGGGGATTGTAGCCTCAACCAGGTTGGACTGCCACCCACGACCTCGGGTCATCACACACTACGCAGGAAAGGGGTTTGCTTCCCCTTGGCCACCAGTTAATGTTACTTTAAGGCTGCTGGTTACAACCTGAAAGTTACGGTTGCAACAAACAATTGGAAAGTTAAAATGCCTAAATTCAAATATCCCTGAGGACATATGCTTCATACCACGATGATTTCTAAGTGTCTTCAAAATGTTTTAACAGGTTAAAAAAAAGTAAGTACCTTTCTTGCATCCCAGAATTGAGTATCGTCAGCATTCACACATGGTCCCTAAAGCCAGCGGGGGTACAAACCACTCCTGGGGGTCGTGTGGGTTTTCACTGGGCCCACTGGGTCATTCATCAGTTTCCATCCCAGAGGCACCAGGTGACGATTCTGGGTGGCAGTGTTTCAGAAATTGGTCGTCCAGATGCTAACTGGGACACACGTTCGAACATGGGAACTTTTGGTCCTGCTCAGCTTTCCGTGGCTTGGTCTTTTCAACCCATTCTTGCTGAAGTGGATTTTCACCAGGAACACATACTCGGTGGATATTATGCAAGGTGAAATTTACTTTTATTAAAACTTACATCAGCTTTTAGAGCAGTGGTTCTCAACCTTCCTAATGCCGCGACCCTTTAATACAGTTCCTCATGTGTGGTGACCCACCAATTTCATTGTTACAAATTGAACATAATTAAAGCATAGTGATCAATCACAAAAACAATATGTAATTATATATGTGTTTTCCGATGGTCTTAGGCGACCCCTGTGAAAGGGTCGTTCGACCCCCAAAGGGGTCGGAACCCACAGGTTGAGGACCGCTGTTTTAGAGACATCAGGCATGAGTCACAGGACAGACATAACTAAATTTATAAATAATCATTTTATATGCTGTTCATCCATGAGTTGAGGTACCTCCTCCAAATGCCTAAACTGCATCCTAGATGAAACTTAAGTAACTTTCAGTCTTATGGAATCCACAGGGTCTCTAAGATTACCATTTCTTTATCAAAGGACCAGAAATTGGTCATCATTTAAAGTGCTTTCCCTCCTCAGGTGCGGCCTGCACAGCCCGCTGGGCCTGACGGTGGCGGGGACTCACCCTCTCTGTGCCCAGGGCCCAGCAGGCTGTGCAGCACCCGCTCAGTGCTCCCTCCACTTTTGCTGAGCAAGTGAAGATGCAAAGTCTTTCATGTAGTCAGCAATGAAATAAGAAACAACGTGAATTAAAAATGTAATTAAGAAATATAATGACAATTAGCTACTAATGACCCCTGAGAACTTGCATGTTCATCTTTCCTAGGTAACTCACTTAAAACCTAAGTTGTTTGGGGCATTGGGAAAACAAGATTCAGACGTTTAACAGCTATAAATAACTTAATTTTCTCTTATAATGCTTTTGGGGAGGGAGGAGGTGTCTTAAGATGTACACAATACTATTACTGCCTTCCCTAGAACTCTGTTATGTTCACCTCCTGAGCTTTGAAATTATGTGGCCGGCAGATTTGGCCCCTCCAGATCTGTCCTCCTGCCCTTACAGCTACCTGCTGGCATCTCGTCAAAGGGAGCATCCTAGATGTGCTACTTCACTGATATGATAGCTGCTTCTTGGACACTTCATACATCGGCAAAGCACATTCCCAGCAACGCAGCAGCGAGAAGATGGAAGTCCTGTGTACACTTTAGGATCCAGCAAAGGGGACTGCAGATGGCTAAGGGCACCACAGAGCAGCCAAGGGGAATGGGCACAGAACCAGGGCACTGAGCGCATGGAGCTGGAACACAGCGGCTATGTGGGAGGGGCTCTGGTGAGCCTGCCCAACACAAGGAGCCGCTCAATCAATCAATAATATAATTATGGCCTCATTCCCAAGAGATAAAACCAATGGCTGTAGCCCTTACCCAAGAGCTGTCCAGCATTGTCCTTTCACTACCCTGGCATCTTCGCCAGCCTCTAAATGACAATTAGTTCCTCTAACTGTTCACTGAATCCTGACTGTACCTTCTCCTGAGGTTTAGACCCAGATGATCCTGTCCCCTTTGATCTCCTGAATATTTGCTTTCCAAGAACCTTTCTTCCCATCTTCAAATAAGTACTCTCCTCTCTTTAACTTTTTAAAAATTTTATTGAATTTACTTGGGTGACATTGGTTACTAAAATTATATAGATTTCAGATGTACAATTCTATAATACATGTCTGTATACTGTATTGTGTGTTCATCACTCAAAGTCAAGTCTCCTTCCTTCACCTTTTACCTCTCCTTTACCCTGCTCTTTCTCCTCCCATTCCTCTCCTCCCCCACTTCCTCTATGGTAATCACCATAGTGTTGTCTGTGTCTATGAGGTTGTTGTTTTTGGTTTTTGTTTCTTAATCCTTTAACTTTTTTCACCGAGTTCCCCAACTCCCTCCCCCTCTAATAGCTGTCAGTCTATTCTGTGTATCTATGAGTCTGTTTCTATTTTGTTTGCTTTGTTCATCGATTCCACATATAAATGAAATAATAAGGTTTTTATCTTTCTCTGACTGGTTTATTTATCCTGGTCCATCCATGGTATCTCATAATACTCTCCATGTCCATCCATGCTGTCACAAAAGGTAAGATTTCCTTCTTTTTTATGGCTGAGTAGTATTCCATGGTGAACATGTACCATGGCTTTTTTATCCACTCACCTATTGATGGGCACTTGGGCTGTTTCTAAATCGTGGCTATTAGAAATAATACTGCAATGTACATATATTCCACTGAATCAATATCTCAGATTTCTTCAGATATAGTCCCAGAAGTGAAATCACTGGGTCTTATGGCAGTTCCATTTTTAATTTTTTGAGGAAACAACATACTGTCTTCCACAGTGGCTGCACCAGTCTGCATTCCCACAAACAGGGCATGCTCACCAAAACATTTGTTGGGTTCCTCTTGTTTGGGACTCTCTTGGCTTCCTGAACTTGTAAGTCTATTTCTTTCACCAGGTTGGGGAAGTTTTCTGTCATTATTTCTTCAAATAGGTTGTCAATAACTTGGTCTCTCTCTTCTTCTGGCATCCCCATAATGCGAATGTTGGTACACTTGAAGTTGTCCCAGAGGCTCCTTACACTATCTTCATAATTTTGGACTTTTTTCTTTTTGCTCTTCTGATTGGGTGTTTTTTGCTTCCTCATATTCCAAATCCTTGATTTGATTCTTGGAATCCTCTACTGTTGAATCTCTGTAAATTATTCTTTATTTCAGTTAGTGTATGATTAATTTCTGACTGGTCCTTTTCATATCTTTGAAATTCTCATTAAATCCCTTGAAGCTCTCATGAAGATATTTGAGCAGCCTTATAAGCATTGTTTTAAGCTCTGTTATTTAGTAGTTTGTTTGCTTCCACTTCATTTAGTTCTTTTTCTGGAGATTTCTTCTGTTCTTTCATTTGTGACATGTTTCTTCGTCTCTGCATTTTGGCTGCGTCCCTGTGTTTATTTCTATGTATTAAGTAGAGCTGCTATGTCTCCTGGAATTGGAAGAGTGGCTTGGTATAATAGGTGTCCTGTAAGGCCCAGTGGCTCAGCCTCCCCAGTCATTTGAGCTGGGCATTCTAGGTGGGCCCCTGTGTGGGCTCTGCACACAGTCTTGTAGTTGAGCCTTGATTGCTGTTGGCATCACTGGGAGGAGTTGACCTCCAGGCTAATTGGTTGTGAGGACCAGCTGCAACTATAGTGGAAGAGCTGCTGTGCAGAAAACAACCTTAAGGAGCAGGACTTTCTTCAATGGGGCTTTGGTGCTCACTGAGTCTTCCCCTTGAGTGTCACTTGTGCATGTGTAGAGTTGTAATCTGGTAGGGTCTGGAGCTGTCCACCATTGCACTGGCTCTGATGTCTCTCAGGAGGTGCAAAGTCTGTCTCTGAAGTTTAGAGATATAATTACTAAATTGCCATGTTTTAAGTTGTTCTCAGTGAAATATCACCTTCATGCCATGAATACTCATCTCAAATGGCTAGTAGCTATGCAAGGACACCGACAAGTTACGTGTGCTACTGGTAACAACAACTGACCTGTCGGGGGACTGAATTCGCACTTGCACACAGCAGTGCACTCAGTCCTTGCAATAACCCTCTCAGAATTTCATCATCCCCATTTGATGCACTGACATTCAGATGGGCTGGATCACACATGTGCTCACGTGTTGGGTAGCAGGGTAGGATTCAAACTCAATCTCTCTGAGTATACAGCCTGTGCTTCTAATCACTGTGCTGCCGTTTATAATTCATGGCCTGGAGCTGCAAGCTATAAAAAAGACAGAAACTAACATTCACAACAAAGTGTATGTGTCTGCAGGCAATACACACACACACACAAACATCACACCTACACACACGCCGAGATATACACATATATATACACACACATCATAAACATCCTCTTTTAGAACACCAGAGAAATATTTTCTTCATCATAAACAACTGAATGGAAAACGAATACAATAACGTATCTTGTTTCTGGGTAATTGAAGACAAATAAGCAAGTTCTCCAATGTTTTCTGAAACAAGTCAGACACAATGGTCTCCAATCGCACAGGTACCTGGTTTTTCAAAGGCCCAAGGAAGCCTAAATTTTCTGCCATCCGCTGAGCTTGGCTGTCCTTTATCCCTTCCATTATGTCAATTTGCTCCTGGTAAAAGATGAATAAAATAAACAAAATTCAGACAGTCAAGTGAGAGACAACCTCAAAAGACCAGTGCTCGCATTTATTTGCAAATGAGAAGAAAGTGAGGCACCTTTCCAGAGATCTCTGAGTGGGGCTCCTGCAGCTGCCGATGTGGTAGGTTTTAATTGGCAGGCCATCTATAGAAAACCTTTCCAAAAACTGTACTTCGTCGGGGGGCATGCTGACGAGACAATCGGATGCCAGCTTTCACTTTTAATTATGATACAGATGGCACTGACGAATATTTAGTCAGTTAATTTTTATGCCATCTTTTGGAAGGCTTCCAAAGTAAGGTTTCTCCAGCCTAATACTGCTATGAAGGTTAGAGCTTGTCACACAGATAAAATATTAGCTTATGATATAAACACTGTATCGATGATGAAAGTTATGAATGCTTCAGCTTTACAAAGTGCTATTCTCTCCTAGACACTGGGCACTGCTCACAAATGAACATTTTTTCATATATTCTCTTGATAAATGGAATGGCTTGTTTGTTTTTTTAAATGTTTTTATCAATTTTTAGAGAGAGAGGGATGGAGAGGGAGAGAGAGAGATACATCAATGTGAGCGCACAACATTGATCTGCTGCTCCTGCACGCCTCCTGCCAGGGATCGAGCCCACAATACAGACATGTGCCCTGACTAGGGGTCAAACCAGTGGCCTTTCAGTGCATGGGATGATGCCCAACCAACTGAGCCACACCAGCCAGGGCAAGAATGGCTTGTTTTAAATCGTACCAACTAGGTATTACAGGTATCCCACTCTTTTCAAAAGTCTGCTTTGCCCCTTCGCTTTTATCTGTTTTCGTAAAAAAAAAATCTAAAGAGGATTTCTGCTTTTTCAAAAAATGGCTAAAAGTGAAAATAGTGTTCAGTGTTCGTTTTGCTGCAGTCATGGAGACAGCACATCCTGGGCAGAGAGAGGGCCCTGCCAGCTCCTTCCCGGGGACCACGCCCAGCATCCAGCCTCCATCACCGGGAATGAGTCTGTGAGCACCTGGGCTTCCTCAGTCTACTTTTGCATCTGTTAGCAAGGTGTGTCCTAAGGTAAATTCTGCTTCACTTTTCATCATTTCAGCTCTCAAAGAGTTTCACAGGCGAGCTCTACTTTTGAATAATGGGGGAAACCTACATGTAAGTCAGCCTGTAAAGTCTCAATTTAACTTGCAAGGCAGTTAACTTAAATATGTAACATTGGTAAAAATATTCTAAAACCAATAACCAAACTATCAATGCTTTACACAAAGAAGTTCAAGAAATAAATGTCCCAATTTTGAAGGAAAACAAAATCACTTTCTAAATGAAATAATGAGTATTTATGCTAGAAATCTTAATGTGATTTTTCTGATACTAAGAACCCATAATTAAAACCTGGAATTATAGTTCAGAAGGCCTTAGATTTTTTTAAATATCTTTTATTGATTTTAGAGAGGAAGGGAGAGGGAGCAAGAGATAGAAACATCAATGATGAGAGAGAATTATTGATTGGCTGCCTCCTGCACGCCCCCTACTGGGGATTGAGCCCGAAACCCAGGCATGTGCCCTTGGTCGGACTCGAACCTGGGACCCTTCAGTCTGCAGGCTGACGCTCTATCCATTGAGCCAAACCAGCTAGGGCCCTTAGATTTTTTTTGATTTTTTTTTTTTTTTACTACAGCTGAGGTAGGCCAAGAACACATCACCTCCTTTAATTCTCACAATTCTATGGGGTGGCAATTACCCCCATTTTCATTTTACTGATTTAAACATAAAGCTTAGAGATATCGGGAAACTTGCTGGCTAGTTGGGATTTTACCTCAGATATTTTCAGCTAGAAACTAATCAATGTGAGAGAGGCACATCGTTTGATTGCCTCCTGCATGTGCCCTGACCTGGTCCGGGGACTTAACCTGAAACCCAGTACATGCCCTGAAAGGGAATTGAACCTATGACCCTTTGGTGATCTAACTACTGAGTGACACCAGCCAGGGCTATGAACTAATCTTAATATCAATAAAAGGAAAAAGACGTAAAGGATGGAAAGAAACAAAGAATCTGGGCTTTCGGGGATTCTGCTTGACACTGATGTTGCTGGAAGACGTCCAAGCAGCCTCCAGCTTACATCTGGTCTCCTTGGAGCTTTTCTAATCATAATACTGTTAAGTGGGCAAAGGTAACAAAAAGGAAGTGGAAACATCACAGTCTGCTTCCACTGTTTAATTCTTGGGACAGGATGAGTGGAAAGGAACAAGGAAGGAAGAAAAGGCAGGAAGGAGGGAAGAAGTGAGGGAGGGCAAGGAAAGCAAAGAAAAAGACCTTGAATAGTGAATATCTCCATTCTACCCAACTTTCAACCCGATGGCCATTGAGAAAAAGCTCCTGACATCCTCCGGCCTTAAATCCCAGAGAGCGATGCATCACCACCAGCCTCAGACGCCACATTAAATATTTAACAGCTTCTACCACCACCACCGGGGAACACAGAGTAGCCAGCAATCTAAACATACCTTAAAAATAAGTTCTGGACTTGAAGCTGCCACCTCCTCGATGTCCATGCCCCCCTGGGGGCTGCCCACCAGCACGGGGCCGTTGCAGGACCGGTCCATCAGAATCGCAAAGTAGGTCTCCCTGGAAATGTTCAAGGCTTCAGCGACCATCAACTGGCAGGGAGGAGGAAAGGCAGATGAATATCCAAGTTTCCACTTGGAAATCTAACAGACTTGCCTCACATGTGAAACGGCTTCCTTTATCGGCCCCTGAGCCCGGTGCCTCAGCTTCCAGGACGCGCTGGCTCTGCTCTGGGTATGCGCCACGCTCATCCCTCCTCCTAACTGATCCTGTCAGCGTGCTCAAGTGACAGGTAGTGGTTGGCCTCAAGGAACCGTCCCACTTTAATCTTATTTTTTCCTTCCTTGAGAATCCTGACACGAAAACTCCTGGCAAGCAGCTCCTATAGTCATTTGAGACCCTAACAGCACATCCGTGTACCACACTGCTCTTTCCCAAATTGCTCTGGTGCAAAACCCAGTCTGGGTGGCAAAGGATTCTTTTCCTGGCGTGCTCGATGCTTCCTCAGTCCATCTCTTGGTTCACTGCATTTGTATTTCAATTTTTACTTTCTTTAAATGACAAATATATTTGCTTGTTCAAAATTAATGCAAATGACACCAGAAGGAACTAAACAAGACAATGAAAGCAGCGACACACATCCACCCCGGCCCCAGCAGTCAGCATGGCCCTGAGACCACAGGGAACCTCGGCGACACTCAGAGAGCTGCCCTTGCTCTGGGTGGACGTGGTCACCTGCCAGCACGTGACTGGGCAGCAGGCAAATGGGGCAAGGATGCACTCCCCCATCACTGGCGCAGCCAGGCGTCCTGAGCTGTGCGCAACCTTAACAACACTACGCAGCAGCCAGAGCAGGGAAACCACTACAACACCTTTGTAGTCTTTTTTTTCTGGGCACCTGCAAGTGTTGTCGCCGTGGAATGACCCTGCACATGCAGACATACTATGTGTGCTCCACTGCCTTTCTTTCTTCTTGCTTTTAATTTTAATACTACAACTCAGACATCTTTCCAAGGCCGTTGTGATTATGTGCTTATATGTCAATAGGTATTTAACCACATCCCTAGTGACAGGCATTTAAATGGGCTTCAATTTTTCTACAATGCTCCTTTGGTGAATATTTCTGTACATGTATCTTTGCTCATTTGTTTGAGTGCCTTGCAGATAGGGTATCTAAAAGGAAAATGACTAGGTATTAGAATCTTCGTATGGAAAAGTACTCTCAAACTGCCCTCGAGAGAGAGGCTGTACCAACTTACAGTCCCAAAAAGAACAGTAAAAGATGTCTTGGATGATTTTTAAAAGAAAATAAGAACTTTCATAAATAATCAGTACTAGGAGTGAAAATAATAAAAATACTTACATTGCTTTCCCTAAAAGTACTTCAATAATATGTTGCACAAAGAAAGTTGCAGGTTAAGTAGCATTAGATTCTAGCTACCCAGATGTCACAAACACACTAAGTTTTAAGTTACCTGAAATGCGACAAATACAGGGTGGGGCAAAAGTAGGTGTACAGCGGTTTGTATGGAAAATAATACAATAATTAATAAATAATCAAGATTTTTAAACTGTTTCCCGTACTTACAACTATGAACCTACTCTTGCCCCATCCCATTTATGGTGATCTAAAAAGCTACAATGTAATGGATATAGAATTCCTTTTCAAACTTTTATTGAAGTTATGACCAGTTAAAAATAAAATACCTGAGCAGGGGCTTCATCCCGAGTCTCCTGTGATAAACGGTAGCTCGTGAGTACATAGGAAATGCTCCTTGGCATACGGTGCTGGGATTACCCAGGACCATTTGACTAAAAGTCCACTTCCTAACACAGAGCTCGCCTATGAACAGATTTAGTGGCTTTCAGGAGCTATTCTTAGAGGCAACACAACCTTACAACTTTAGGGCACCTGTCATTCACGAGTCCTATTCTCATTCCACTAAGTGTTGGCAGGTGTGCTCTGGATTCCATCAGATCTGTGTGTGAAGACCCCGCTGGCTCACACGCTCCTGCTGCGTCTTTAGGAACTTCCCCAGGAAAGTGACGATGGTTATCAACAGATAAATCAAGAAATGTATATAAAGGCCAATTTTTTACGTTACTATGCCATCTTATGACCCAGGATGTCAGAATATGTTAGGAATTGTAACAGAGAGAACGGAAATGGAGCTTGAACACTCATCCCAGGAGATGCTCAGTTAGATACATTTCAGAAAAGCTACATCTGTGACTGACACCAGCATACCACCAATGCAGCCTTTCTGTGCGGTCCCCAGTGCAGAAAGCTTTGAAACGTCCTTGACCCTGACTGGATGCTGAACTGGCTTTGGTTTGCTGCTCAGACTGTGGCCGGAGGAGTGCCAGTGCACAGGCTCCCGCCACACACCGTGCTCAGGTAAGACGAGCGCATGCTCCGTGCTGGCGCTCCTCTCCTGGCCCCGCAGCGTCTCAGCTCCCAGGGTTGTATCGTAAATCAGCGAGTGAGATACAAGACGCCTTAATAAGCCAATTAATTAGGAGTCGTTTACTGCACGGGCCCCAGAGGGAGGTGTCTCTTCCAAATCTCTGAGCAACACATACAGGAAGTTTCCTGTATTTATACCTTTCGGGCTTCTTTGTCTGCAGATTTTACAAAGGGCTCTGTGTGAGTTATTGTTACAGACAATTTGTAATCTTGGATACATAAAGAACAAACATTTGGCATAAGAATATGGGAATTATTATCAGTATTAGTCCATTACGTTAGATGGCTAGCTTGCAAGGTCAGACAGTTAAGTTTTTATCTTTTTCTATTATTCAAACTGAAACAGTTATTTTATAGAATAAGAGACTGTCTAAAAATGACAGAGTTTACGGAACAAGGGACTACCTAACAATAGCAGAGAATTCAAACAGCAGTTTTATACAAGATGGAGGTTACTATGCTTCACCAGCACTAACTACCCCACGGAACAGCCCACTAACACAGAGGCACAGCTTTAGAAAAATACCCCATGGGCACAGAGGTATGTATGTGTCCAAATAACTTCTCAAAGAAACTGAGTCTAAAATAATCTGGGACTTCTGACTGATGTCCAAGGTTCTGTAAGTAAAAAGAAAAAAAAAAAAAAGCATGTTCCCTAAAGCATATAAAATGTTATTGTTATAGAAAAGTGGTAAGACACACTTTACAGAGAAGAAAGACTAAATAATGTATGACAATTATTTCTGGGTGATGACAATACAAGGAACTTTTACTTCTAATTTTTATTATTTCTGTACTACTGGAATTTTTACATAAGTTAGTCACTTTTGGAATCAGGAAAAACAAAACAAAAAAAAAAATAGATCACTCTAGTAGTTTCCTGGCAATGATTCAAATTACAAGAGTGAACTTATCACCAGTATTTTAGGAACCTTTCTACAAACTAATTTCAAGCTCATCTATACAGTGTGACTCTTCTTTGTGTATTTTTATATGCTTTCTAAAAGTACCACAAACTCTAATGTAAAAACCCATCTAGCCATAAAGAACTACAAATTTTTAAAACAAAAATACTAATCATGCCCTGTGCGGACAAATGCTGAAGAAGGTACACAGGAAAAGGCTCAAAGCCAGATTTAAAAGGAAATACAGTGGGGCCTTGACTTAGGAGTTTAATTCGTTCCGAGACCGAGCTCGTTAACTCAAATTACTCTGTCAACTCAATGCAAAAAATCCGCCGAGAGACAGCTGATATCTCAAAAAACTCGTTAGTCGGGACACTCCTAAGTCAAGGCCCCACTGTAGACATAGTATGCCAGGCTGAACGAAACCAACAAAAAACAACGTGCTTGCATGTGAACCAGTTCCGGCACCTGCGGAGAGGCAGTGGGAGGGGAGAAGGGCGGACCGGCTCTGTGAGCGCATCTGACATCAGCAAGGCTCTGTCCAAGGGAGAGCTCAGATCTCAGCGCGCAGCCTCCCTCACCTCCATGGCCCCTTGGGAGGAGGACAGACTCTCTCGTGGCACAAGAACCACGAGCTGGTGATTTTCTTGTTGGTCACGTCAAAAATTTCCCACTCAACTCTCTCTGAAAAGTAAAACCAGCATGCGCTGCCTCGGTTTCCCCAAGCATGCACACGGCGGAATCGTCACCTGTGAGCTGTGCCCCCGGAGCAGATAGTTCCTCCCTGACTCAGCACCAGGAGGGGCCCCTGCCCTGTGCTCCGGGCTGGGCGTGGCCTGCACAGGGCCCAGGCCCACTTTCACTACATGCGGAGCACAATAAAGAACACTGCTATTACAGACACTTTTTATTTCTCCTCAAAGTCATACTACATACTAAACAGATGACATGAGGTTTAAAAATAAGATGGCACATTGCCAAAGTGCATTAAATTCTGCCAAAACTGAAATATGGCTTTCTTTTTTTAACACACACATAGAAAATGACCAGAAGCACTCATATTACCTTATTAACTTTCACACCTTCTTTTGGAGTTTGTTTCGTTGTCAGGTTATACCCAATCATCTGTTTAGCCAACTGTCCCACAACTTTAGGGCTAAGAGAAAGAGAGAGAGAGAAAGAAAAGAAAATCAATGTCTCTGTTGAAAATAATTTTAAAGCAGAGTCCATACTAAATTCTCACGTCCACATGGGCAAGGCACACCTCCATGCCCAGGACCCATGGGACTTTCTGTTCAAAAACACAAATGAATGGAAGGGAGGGAAGGAGAGGGGAGGGGAGGGGAGGCAAGTGTGGTAGGAAGAGAAGTGAAAAAGGATGGTTCCTGAAGGCCAGGTGAGGAAATGCTCCTAGCCCAGTGATGGCGAACCTTTTGAGCTCGGCGTGTCAGCATTTTGAAAAACCCTAACTTAACTCTGGTGCCGTGTCACATATAGACATTTTTTGATATTTGCAACCATAGTAAATAAATTATAGTCATAGTAAAGAGACAAGGCTGAAACGCAGGACAGGTTTAGATGAGAGCTGAATAACAGAGAATTGAGAGCAGGTAATTTGGAATGTACTGGCCAACAGGGTCTGGGGAGGGGGGTAAAGGTGAGGGTAAGAATCACTGTGAAAAATCACAGACTGGCTCAGGTGAAGGGAGCCTCCGGCTGTCTCAGACAGGAGACAGGATGCCTGGTGATGGGCAGCCGCTGCAGGTCTGGAACAGGAGCGCAGTTAGGGCAGCAGAATTTGATGTGCAAGTGGCGTCATTGCCAGCGTTTGGAATGAAACCTGACTGTCTAGGGGAGACGCAGCGCCAGGGTCACCAAGTGAAGAAAACGCTTTTCTGGAGCAGAAGGAAACGGGCGTTGCCGGCGTCTTCCTGACTATTCCCTCTATGCTCCAGCTCCAGCTCCAGCTCCCACCTTGCACCCACCTTCCCACCGGTGCTCCTGTCCATCACCAGCAAGACCTTCCACCACTGCGGCCCAGACAGAGATGAAAACACCCAGACTTACTCTTTTGTTAAATGAACGCCGCCTTTCAAACCGCTACTGAAGACACCTTTTCCTCTTCCTCCAGCTAAGATCTGGGCTTTTAAAACAATTTCTTTTGCATCTGAAAAAGAAAATTCAGAGTGGGTAGTTAATTTTAAATTATTTTTTAATCAAGTGGTAATGACATATAACTTCTAAAACTGGTAAAAGCTCTCCCCAACCAACTTTGAAAATGAAGGCAATAACGAACTTCAAAAAACATCGATGCGCCAAATACAAAGTCTGTTTATCGAGGACATTTACGTTTTTCTACCAGTTTAACCTAATACTGGACCATCCCCAGGGAAAGCAAGGCATGTGAGTGTCAAGTGCTAAACAAATCCAGGCTGAGGTGTTAATTCACTGTGTGATGATACTCCCCCGAGGCGGAGGCACCTCCTGCCAGCCAGAGAGGCTCGCGGCCTGTCAGTCATCTGAGATGTCAAAGGGAAGACAGGGTTACAAAAGGAAAGGTGCAAAGACAAAATGCAAAGAGAGTACGTAGTAACTGTATTCTTAGAAACTAACAGTTGCTCTGAATATTGACAGGGTTGGGTAAGGGAGGAGGAAATAGATTAAAACTAAAAGCAAGCAATCATTTTAAAGTGTTGGCAGGGTCACAAAACACCCCATGGAAAGTGGTTGTGGAACCTTCGTTCTGCACTCAACACAAGAGTGAGCTGCCTGTTCCTGACACTTAGACCAGAGTCATTAACCCGGGTATCCTATGGGCCAGGCAGGAAAGCCGGGTGTGTGAAGCAGCCAGGGATGGAGCTGGGCCTTAGCAGACAGCAATGCTCCCCTCCTCAGTTGTCAGAAAAAGAAGAAAAGGCAGTCCCCAAACAAATATGTTTCATCAACCAAACAGTACCCGCCTTCGGGCCACAGTTGGCATTCTCTGGGACTCATACTTGTCTAAAGTCAGAGAACTAAGTCTGACAATCCTCTCTAAGGCTCCATGGTGCTCTGGCTCAGCTCGCCAGGTTTAGACTCTGCAGACCCAGGTTTCGATCTGGCCTTCATCCTTTACTCAGCTGTGTGATGTTGGCCAAGTTACTTAACATCTCTGAGACTCAATTTACTTGATTGTGAAATGATGATAAAGATTGTTTTAAAAAATTAAATGAGACAACACATGTGATTACTTTATCCCAAGAGCCTCAAAACTCATACAATTAATGAAAAACTATTGCCACAGTCAGTTAGTCCATTTATTGCCTCTGTATAGTGTAAAGATTCAAAAGGATTATTTCCACTTGGGCGGAGATGGTAAAAAAGAAATGGTTGGCATGTGGCACCGTTCACGTAAAGCTGCGTAAGTGTTGGCTATCTCCGCTAGTACTTCCACTGCCGTGACTCATAGGCAAGCACACAAAGGTTCCAACAGAGGGAGCCACTGTGGGTTTACCGTGAAGGCAACAGGAGCCACAGAGGGAGCCACAGGCATTGGGTGGGACAGTCACTCCACCTGATGCAGTGAGCTTATTCAAGTTCATTGCCTCTGCTGGCTGGCCTTCTTTCTCCTACATTGGCTTACACTCGGAGAACCAGGGCTCACTTTCTCTCAGAAGTAAACATAGCTCTTTCTTTGCTGCACTCTATACCCTCTGACAACTGATCCTGCCTTGGAAATGAACCATCATAGCATCAGCCAACCATGTTTTAGAATAAACTGGTTCCTATCAAACAGGAGAAGACGAGCTGTAATGACATTTATTACCAGAAACTCACCAGGAAAGGGCACCAGTAAAAAGAATGATTGCGTATTTGTGCTAATGAGTTAAAGAACAGCAGTATAAGCAAGGCCTCTGGAGTTAAACAACCCCGAGTGACAACTTCCAGCTCTGCCTCTAACTTCCTTCGTGGAGAAGAGGAGACTGAGGCTCAGAGGTAAAGTAGCATGCCCGTCTGTAAAATGGTCATGATAATATATGTTAGGATGATGTCAAAAAATAAATAAAATACACTAGGTACGGTGCTTAAGTCGACACCTGGCACATTTAAAAAATAGCCAAAATATGATATCTATTATCATTATAATTATTTTCAGCAATTAACCAAAAGAGAGATATATAGGAAGACATTTCTTTTGATGACATCAAATGGCAGAACACTTTTTGCTGTCTCAAAATTTTAATTGTGATCTCTTCAAGTTCATTTAAAAGGGTAACGAGTATTGCACTGCCTGTCATCCAGAAGAAGATGCCTGCCTCTCCAAGCTTTCTAGCAGCAAAACTTGAAAGCCAGACAGAATGTCTAATTGGGCATTGTTAACTGGCCCTACCCAGGCGTGATCAGATCAGCCACTGTCCTCTCAATGAAGTGTTGCCAATAACATGTTACCATGTGACCACATGTCAAAGGACTCCATGTCACCCATGTGGTAGTCTAAGCAACCACTTCAAACACCGAGAAGCCATATACTCAATCAGGCAAATAGAAAAAGGCAGAGGAAACAACCCAGTTCATCTTCTGCAACGTACACTCCAGGCCAAAAGTAAGCTCACTACAATCATCTCTTCCGGTTGGGCTCAAGGGCAAATCAGTCCAGCAGGTCAGTAGCCCAAAGCAAAGCAAGTTTTTCTCATCATGGGGGAAACTCACATGAAGCAATTCAATTCAGTGGTTACTTCCTCAGGGTGCTGAAAATTCAGTAAAGTGACCCAATCCTACTGAACAGTAATTAGTCTCATTCAGTACTTACCAGGTTGATTTACACTTAATGTCGTTATTTCTATTTCATTTAATGATCTGAATTATCCCAAAACTCATACAAATTTCTAGGTGTTTTTTTAATGTTACCTCCCTGGTCCCAAAGAGAATTACAAAAGAACATCCCATAGGTGAAATTCAGTTTTTGTCTGAATGCACACGATGGCTTCAGCATTCTTTAAGATAACAAGACAAAAAGAGCCCGGGAATCAAGCCTCCTCTCTAATCGGCTCCGTATGGAAAAGGCGGCTCCTGTCTGTGCCCTGAGAGCACGCGCTGGACTCGGGGCTGCGTCATCCGGGTCTGGCTGCCTCCGATCCTCGCAGTTAACTATGTGCTTAGCAGGAGCCCGAACATGCTACATGTGCACGTCATTGCGTCCTCCCTGGCGCGGTTCCGACACGCTGCCGTGCTCGTGTCTGGCCTCCACTAGGTGTGACCGGATCCCGTTTACTATCACTCTATGTGTGTTTCAGGAGAAAAGGCACGTAAAAATATATTTGATAAACTTACGGATAGATAGCAAAGACCCTCAAATACTGTGCCACCTAAGAGAACAGTATTTACAGCCATTTAGAAACTGAAACACCCCACACCATGGTCTCGTTTAGCTCTATTAGTGCATTAGAATAATGCTTTCTCAAACGTTTTCCTCTCATTTTTACCACAACAAGTGTAACTATTGTAATTTAATTATAAAAAGACAGTTTTATAGCAATTTTTATAGTCTGCCAATAGTCCCATGCTGGCCAATAAACATTCTTGGAAGCATTATTAAACCTAAAAAGAAAAAAAACACATTAAATTCATTAAGGAAAGCATAAGCTAAGGAGAATAAGAAATGCCTTTAATTTGGCAAGCTTGGTAAAGCTGGTTCACTTTGCTTTTTAGAGATGGCAAAACATTGTTCACAAGACGTAGTTTGTGGCCATAAAGCAAAAGGTTTTGTGAAGGATCAAACACCTGTATTACCGAACTGGTTTTCTTCAGCATTGCTCTCTTAAAAAAATATAATTCTTTCCTAAATGCAAAACGCAGTGCTATCTGCACTGACATGGCAACGGGACGACAGTCGATTTCGAGTCAATAACACCGGAATTGTTGGGGAAACCGGTTTCTACGGTTCACTGACTGCAGCAAAATTGGAATATCCAGTTTTCAGCAAAATTGCATGGTATAATTTCTAGAATGGCGATCACCTTTCATAAGGTTTGATAGCATTCTTAATCGAGAAAGTTAAAATGATTTCAGATTTGCCTATTACTGTAAGGCAAGGAGAAGGGGAGGGTGAACCAAGAATCAAAAGCTACCACAGAAAGATGAATGTAAAGAAGTATAAAGAAGATACATCTATAAGATGATAGGGTGGAGGCCTACGAGCCCATTTCCCAAGGAAAATAAGCTAGCTTCTGTGTTTGCATTATGACCCCAGGACCCTAACTTACAATTCTTCGTCATTCCTGTGGTATCTCCTGTAGGCTGATTCCGGGTCCCGGAGCTGTGACTACGTCACTGGGAATGAGATAATACTGCAGTGACTCCAAATGCCCAATGGCATCTCTGAGACTAAAACAATTATTTCAACTTTCAACGTGTCTGACATGGGCTCATTGAGTCAGAAAATTTCAAACATACGGAACAGGAGAACCGACTGCTCCACCCTCGGCCACGTGCCGGGCTGAATGGAGATGAGAGACCCCGGGCCCCACCTGGCTGCTGCCCATCACGGCTTGAACTGCTCCTGCCTAACACAGTGGTTTCCAACCATAAGCCAAGGATGGAACCAGACTCATCTTGATGCCGGGGGTTTGTGAGAAACAGGAAGCTGTCCAGGGAGACACTGTTTCACATTAAGAAATCCTTTATTGATAAGGCTTTCCATTGGAGTTTTAAATCTTAAATTTCCTATCAAATATGGCAGCCAATTGATTCCATAGGAAAATGCCACTATGAGCAGTTTATTGATTATAACAAAGATAATATTATCTTAACACAAAACATGCTTTTGTTTTCAAGGTAATTTCTAAAAATTTTAGTTTCTATAAAAAATTCCTAAATTAACCTACCTTTCTGATGCTATCACTGGTGTCATTAATTAGATTTGTGACCAATAATACTCCATTGGTAATGAAATTTTTAAAGCTAGATAAAAATTACCTCTAGAAGGGCTCAATTCAGTTGTAATATCTTAATTTTTCTATAGTTTAATACTAATAAACCAATCTTACATTTTGCCTATTAAATTAAAATACCTATTTCATTAAGAAAGATTAAGGATAGAAAATCCCAATGTTGATGGCAACAATACCCGTGTGACCTTATTCAAGTGCTTACAGCTAATCCAAGAATTTCTAATGCTGTGAGACTG